CCAAGAAAGGTGTAGTCCGCGTCTGTGAACAACCGTGTGTACACCTGTGTGTAATTTCAAATTTTACTCTCAATGAGAATACATTTCCCAATGAAAAAAGAACCAGGGTTGCATTTTTTTAAACTTGTCCTGTCTAGCAGTTGTGGCAAGCAGACTCTCTGTTATTATTTATAGTTTTATCTGATTGGATATTATGCTGGCACAGACAGGGGGTGAAGTTCAGATTGGCAAAAGGTAGGCGAAAAGCAGAGAAATAGAAAGCAGAGGAATTGAAAAAGAAAAGGGAAGAAAGAAAGGGAGAAAAAAATGGGGTTAGGGGAGGCGGGAGCAAAGGATGAACACACATGCTGGGTCTCCAGTTCCCGCATTTGTAACAAAGCACATTCAGACGACACAACAACAAATACACAATTTTACTCCCCCAAGCCAGAGGTTGACAAGGAAAGAAGAGACCCTGGCTGTCCATGGCCCCCAAGAGAGCTGCAGATCTGAGTCCATATCCTGATGACAGCCGTGCATCCACCCCAGATTAGGGAAAAGGGAGGCCGCGGATGGAGCTTTCGCAGCCAAGGGCAGGAGTGCCAGGGGACCAGAGGCAACAGGAAGTTCCCCTAGACTCACCCAACTCCAGCCCGACCCCTCAACGTGCCACGAAGAGGTCTAAGCCACCCTGTATCTATAATCCACAAGCACCAAGCCAGCAACCACGGCAAAACAGCCCATCAAGTGTTACCAGGTGATATCCTTAATAATATTTTACCACAGAATTTTAGAAAATTAAGATACACGTGGGTATATTGAAGGTATGTGCAGGAGATTGTTTAATTATTTGAAAATTCTAAATGTTACAGGACATTATAGACTGAAACTGAGACTCTCACAGCAGATTTCCTTATCTCTTTAGTATAAACCTTCCTTTTGCATGTTTTAACCAGTTCCCTATTCCCAGTATGCAAACAGCATCTTCGTGCAGCATCAAAAAACAGATTAAAAAACAATCGGTGAAAGAAATATGTCTAGATATTGAGAACAATTTGAAGCCTATGAACAATTTTATTGTCCATTAAGATTAAATGCTGTTATTGATCTATGTGTGTTCATTTAAAGTGAACTGTGAGACAAAATCTCTGGCTATTCTGAAGATACACAATTAACTTTTACCTGACAAGTCTTTCAAGATAACCAGCAACAAATTGATGAAGTAAAAATGAACAGGTTCTTTGTCCACTCAGTAATGAATTTATGTTGTTATGTTATTGATCAAGTAGACATTTTAACTATAGATAATAATATCACAAATTCTAGAATGTGCAACAGTTAGACTATCCAGATGAAACCTTTGTTAAATCTATATGGGTGATATGAAAATCAAATAATTTCTTCTATGTCACTTTGTATGTCATTACTATTACTGGCTTCACTGGATAGGCATGCAATATCTTCAAATACAGGGGCATAGCTGCTAAAAGGTACGTGCATATTTAAAATATTTTCCCACTGCTCAAATATACCTACGGGAATACTCTCTTTATCAACAGATAGACTTGTTTGTTTGAAGAATGGGTTGAAAGGTAGGTTCTGTTGTTGCCCTAATGAATGGTCATGTATGTAATTCCCACCAGTGACAACAGAAAACTGTCTGAACTCAGACTCTGAGCACATAAGCGTGCCCTCCGTTTCACTTTCACATGAATCATCCACCATTGTGATTTGGTCTGTGGCTCCACATTTCAGAGCTGATTGATGCAATGTTTTTTTCACAGGAGTGTTTAGCTTGCTAATTTCTTCAAAAGTGAGACATTGCATTGGCTCCAGGAATTCTGGCTGTATGAATCTCTTTGTGTAACAAGAATCTGTCTGCTGGGACTGTTTTGAATGAAACTTATTCAGCAACTGTTCATTTATCAAAGTAACATTTTGAGGCTTTGGGGAGCTTTTGTCATCACTAGAGCTTTCTTTCTTAAATCCTGCAAACAGCATCCTCAAATCTCCCCACTGTTTCGGATCAGCTTTCACACATTTTGAGCTGTATAGATGCTTCTGCCAGCTGAGTTTCAGTGAGGTATCATCTGAATGAAATGCACTACAGATGCTGCCGACTTCATAATACTCAACCTCACTCTTTGGTAATGGCTGAACATTTGACAGACTGTTATCACAGTATATCTCTGCACTTGACTTTGACTGATTGGTACTCATGAGGTCAGGTCTGTTCCCTTTTTCTGGTGACAGAGCTTCTGTGGGCATTGTGTTGTCATCAAAGGAAAACGCTTTGTTGTCTGCCCCATGCTCTGTTTTCACTGGTAAGCTCGCACTCTGACATCTTGAATGAGAATGTCTTACTTTGTAAAGGCCAACACACATTACTGCAATCACCAGAATGGCGATGAGAGGAAGAACCACGGCAATGAGCCACAGTGGCAGGTTGCCTTGCATTTCAGAGCAGTGATCATGGCTATCCTTTGTGGAGATGCATATATCACAGAAATGGTCAGTAACATTGTGTAAACAGATGCAGGAGTTGTTCTGCACAACAGGTTCACATGTCCAGTGATTTTGACAGTGTGAGAGACAAGATCTGCTGGGACCATCCTTCTCAGAGCATCCTGAAGGGAGGCAAAAATGCGGAAAGCTGCAGTTGGTCTGGGTGAGAGTCGAGCTTGGCCTGACATCCACCATTATGCTGTGTCCGCTGACAGGCAGAGAGTAACCTGTCACATTGAAATACTGCACACATCCACTGAACCCTGTCATAAAAAACAAAGCAGGTTCAGAGGTCCACTTACTTCCACGTTACTCCTTCAGTTTAACTTTACTGGTACATGTTGCTTTTAGAGTGATCAGTTTCAGTTCAGGTAAGAAGATCCACTCTGATTACACAGTTATCCAAAACTCTCATCAAGTGCAATGACAAGACTGTATGCAGTGTATATTTTCTGGCCTTCATTTCACATGTTGTACAAAAGTTGGCATTTTAAAAACTGACTTTAACAATAAACTTTACCTGATTGATTGACTGTTTCTCTTGTGGGAGCAGCACCAAGAGTGATCTTCTCTATGCTAAGTGGAGTGAGATCCATACTTTGGCCAGTGATGTTCAAAACTGGTTTACCATCCACAGAGAGGAAAGTGTTCTGTCCCCTGCTGAACAAGGAGAGGAGATGCCAAACCCCATCAGCCACAGGAGGGTCCACAGAGAAGTCTGACAGGTGTCCCAAAAGTGCATCTTCAAAAATGTAGACAGGCTTCTTGTCTTTTATCTGAATAAAGGGGAAAAACAGTTTCATACTTGAATATAGAATACAAGACGTGTATATAGTTAGATAGTTGGGTTAGTTAGTTGGATTTCACCTACCTTCAGCATAATATATGCTCTCTGTCCACGGATGAACATCAGCACACCATCATGTTTGGTCTTGAACTTGATGTTAATCGTTTGTTGGTCTCTGTTTAATCCCAATTTTTCATCCAAAATGTCTTTCATCAGGTAGTCTCTTTTAAATTTCTCCTTAATTACATAATCAATGTGGTCACTGCCATTAAATTTCAAAACAAGTTCCTCTGACATTTCTGTTTAAAAAAAAAGTTTAAAAAAACTCAATTTAATCTTCTGCACCTGATTTTAAAACAGAAGCTCAATATCATATGTACTATTATTTATACCTTTGTCACAGTTTTTTCCAGTAAAAGGGCTTTTGCACTCGCAAAAATAGTTGGACCAAAGGTCATGACACACACCACCATTCTTGCATGGGACACTATAGCATAATGACACTGCTGCTCGAGGACACCTAAAGATAAACAGTAAGACATTTATATATGTGTGTGTATATATATATATATATATATATATATATATATAAATCCAGCAATGTTTAAAGTATAAAGACATCTACATGCACTAATTTTAATAAGCCTGCCTGTCAAAGATGTTATATGCCGCTAGGGCCATTGAGGGTCTCAGGAGGATGCCATTAAGATGAAAGTTTCGGATACATCCAACAAAGTCATGGGTTCTTATCTGAGAAGGATGCACTAAAATAGCTTCAGTAGTTCTTAATCCTCCAAAGGTCATATTACTGTTGCCAACATCAAGTGTCCTAATTGGCGATAAAGACAAAGAAAGTAAAAAATTGAAAAACGAAAAAATATTGCTTACATGAAGATGAAAATTAGAAATAATATTCCAATTAAATATTTCACTGCTACCTTTCTGAAATACTTCCATCATTCGTTGAAAAACAGAATCTATTGTTTTCGTCATCTGTGCAGTTGTCCACATGCAGTGAACCCATCTGTGAAATGCAATAAAGATATATGAATGTAACTCAAATTCAATAAAATATGCTAATGTATTAAAGTACTCAGATTACTTTTTCAATGAAGAAACATAAAACATTACTTCTGCAGTTCAAGTAAACAGTTATTTTCTTATTTAAATAAGTAATTCATTGATAGTAGACATACTATTAGCCACTTTGTTGGGTACAACAGTCGAACTCATTGTTAATCAACTAATCATGGCAGCACCTCAAGGGATTAAGGCAACATAATGGGAATGTAAAATGATTTAAATGACTTTAAACATAGCATTGTTGTTGGTGCCAGTTGGGCTGATTTAAGTGTTTCAGAAACTGCTGATCTAAAAGATCAGTATACTCAGAGGTAAATGTATTGCTAAGTTGCTCATGTAATGCAAAGTACTCTAATGAGTAAACATTTCTCTGCAGGCAACCCTGTAACCTGGCAGTTGTTTTTTTGTTGTTGTTGTTTTTTGTAAACCTCTTATACTGATATATTTAAAACTCACGCTGCCAATCCTCCTGGCAATAACACTGTGAAAATATCCATCTGCAACTTGCTTGTATGTTTGCAACCTCACAGGTCCTGAACCCAGATCATAAGAGAGATGTACTGCTCCATCCAGTATCTCCAGTGCAAAGAACTCTCTGCTGTTTGAACCTCCTGGATTGTAGAGGAGGAGGGAGTCCCTCTGCACTGTGGCAAACTCCAAGGAGATTAAATTAGTCCTACGATCCAGTGGTGGAAACTCCATGAAGGACAGCTCCTCAAAGCCATAACTGTGATCCTCACACCGGACTCCACTGACTCCTAACATAAAGATGAGTTCCATATTATTTTTTCCCATTTAATTCTTAGAAAACCTCTTAGCATATTTCATATATGCGCATAAACAGATAGCATATATAGCCACTGATATCACCCATTGATGTGAAGTCTTAGGCTGAGCATTTTGCTGTTGCTATTTTGTTATTTCGAAACTGTATAACAAGCAAACGGTGGATCTTGCTGATATTGCAAGGAATACTTCATATAGACAAGCTTTATCTTTCTTCTGGACACTAATATGCATCATAGTTTACACAATTAATCTCATCTTATATTCAGTATGACATGAAACTAGCGGCTCAGCTGGAATCTCATGAGGAAAGCTTATACAGACCAAGCGAGTTGAGGACATCTTTTGCACCCAGAGGAGTCACAAACTGGTACACATGACAAAGAATGCAGATTTAAGTCAATTCTTACTGGTTTCACTTTTTAGACCAGACCTTTGGTGATACAACCACTCTTGAATTTTGTTAAGCTTCAAGTTAGGGGTAGTCACTTTGATTGACAGATGTGTTGACAAAGTTACAAGCCACAAAGTAGAGGCCTGTACATAGGTCAGTGGATAAATGACCCTTTGGTACCCATGCTCCGACCTCAGTAAATATTTTTGTGTTGATTTTATACTTATTTTGTAAATTGTGGCCCCAGTTAGAGTCAAGAAGGAAAACAAAGCAGGGTATGCTTTAGGCCTGATTTAGATCTTTGTAGAGCCTACAGTGTAACCTACATGTGTCCAAGGGGACTGAGGAGTTTGCACTTATGTTGGAGGTTACATTGTGAAGTTTCCAGTTGAAGCATAAATTAGGTGTTAGAGTGGGTTTACCTTGTGACTGACAAGTTATCACTCTTCCTGGATTAAAATTGATGCTAACAAAATGCTCAGCTTAAAGCTTCACAATGAGACATAACTAAACAGTGGGTGTCATCAGCTTTGCTATGTCCATCATTTGTATACAGTTTGTTACAAGCAACCCTTTTTTTTTCTAAATATATGCAAGAAAGTGTGTCTTTCCTAAGATTTTACACTTTTGTAGACAAATGTACATCTAGCATTATGTATCATTCTTACCAAAGTGACAATTACAAGAGAATCCTGTTTGTGAATTAATGCAGATACCATGAACACAGGGTGATGATTTGCAGTAGTCTATGAACTCATCACAGGTTTCTCCTAAAACAATTAAATAAAAAAGAAGTTTTATTTTTTTAAAAATTAACAGTTGGTTCTCACATATTAATTTTTTTTCCTATCTATCTATACATGAGAAAATGTACCTCCAAATCCAGGCACACAGTGGCACTGATATCCATCCTCGGAGGGGATACAAGTCCCACCATTTTGGCACTTCACCTTCAGGCATCCATTGACATCAGCAGCGCAGTGGGAACCAGAGAAGCCAACCTGACAGTGACAGAAGAAACTTCCCACTGTATTCACACATGTGCCTTTATTCTCACAGGGATTTAGCTCACATTCATCAATTTCTTCTTCACACAGTGAACCAGTAAATCCGGATGGACAAGTACAGTTAAAAATCTCTTTCTTTGGCGCAACAAAGATGACCGCTACACTTTCAAGGACGGCAACCTCCTGGCTGATGTAAATATTTTTGTGGCATGATGCTCCATTTTGACAAGGGCTGCTCAGACATGGATCACTGGTGATGTGAGAAATTGTCACATTGCTCTGAGCTTCCAGTAATTTCTTGTGTCCAGATGATATACCACTCGCCACCTCTCTGCTAAGGTACTGACCGTTGTAATTTTTGACTGCAGCCAACAGAAGGATTTCCCACCCAATATGTTTGATTCCAAATACATGAGTCTTAGAGGCTTGTAGGTTAAACAGACTGTCCAGAGCTTTTACAAACCTCAAATAGTTATTAGACAAAAACTGCTCTACTGAAGATGATGACACATAAAATAATATACAATTGTCTATAGAAGCGTTTGTAAAACCTTTGTAGTTAACATAGACGCTGTTGTTTACGGGAAAGTGCAGCTGGTCTGTAGCTTCAATGGAGATGTTAAACGTAGCTTCGCCTTGAAAGGGAAAAGACCACAGCTCACATGTGCCATTAAGGATTGTGAACATGTGAGTTGGCCCACTTTTGATGGTGCAGTTGAATCTGTCAGACTCATCCTGATCCTCAGGATGGACATTACCAATCATGCCACCTTGGAAAGAACTACCAAAATATTTCACCTCAATAAAGATATTTCTTGCCATTGAAGGGTTATCGTTTTCATCCACAACCCTGATGTGGAAGGTTGATGTTGATGATAGTGGCAAAGGAAATCCTGAATCCCTGACAGCCACAAGCACTTGATATGCAGAGATTTGTTCCCGATCAATTGGGCGGGTGGTGAGCAGAACTCCATCAGGAGTGAGAGAAAAAGCACTGGCCACTGAGGAGTCTAATAACCAGTACATAAAAGGGCCTTGGTTGGGTGGTAAATCAGAGTCAAATGCAGTTAATTTAGTGACTATGGTGCCTTCAGGCTGATTTTCTCTCACATGAGCTTCAGTTGATGTGAGTTTGGGGGCATTGTCATTAATATCACCAATAGTCACAATGACATTAGTAGTCCCAGTGGCTGGTGGAGAGCCATTATCTGTGGCTATAACAGTAAGATTATAGACTGGCCAGACTTCTCTGTCCAGTGGAGAATTCACAGAAATGATACCATTAGATGGATCAATAGAGAAGGAGAAATTCGTATTTCCATGCTCAATGGTGAAGAAGAAATGATTCCAGTTAACAATGGAGTCCTCATCCACAGCACTCACAGTTGCCACAGATGTCCCAATTGGGGTGTCTTCTGTAACATTCGCCATATAGCGTGGAGATGTGAACATGGGAGCTTCATTTGTGTCAATCACACTGACATGGACAAAAGTCTCATCTATATCTGTGCCAGTAATAACACCAGAGTTCTTGGCCAGAACTTTCAAAACTAAATGGCTGTTGCCTTGTTTCCTCAAACTATTGGTCGTATATACGTCTCCAGAACGTTCGTGAATTTCAAAGCTCTTTGTTTTTTTCCTGGCAAACAAAAAGTAAAACACTTGACCTTCAGAGCCTCGGTCACCATCTGTAGCCGTCACTTTTCCAATAACAGTTCCAATAGGCACGTTTTTAAGTACTGAGAAGTTAAATTCTTTTTTGATGAATCTAGGCGTGAACTCATTAACATCTGAGATTTGGATGACAACATGTGCTAAACTAAATAAAGCATGTCCTCCAGTATTGGAACCTTTGATTGTTAAATCAAACATCTGCTCTTGCTCATAATCAAACATGGCCAAAGTGGTGATGGTGCCATTTCCTGAATCAACTGCAAATTTATCTATATGGCCACCAATGAGAGAGTAGAATATTTGTGCATTTGCACCTGAGTCAATATCTGTGGCTGTTACAACAAGAACATTCGTTCCAACAGCTGAGTTTTCACGAACTGATGTTATGTACTCTGAGGATGAAAAGACTGGGGGATTGTCGTTCACATCCATGACTAACACCGTGACATTTAATGTGCCAGTTTTAGAGAACCAGCCCTCATCTTTAGCTTTAATTTGGAAATGATAAATACTTTGTTCTTCAAAGTCAAGCTCTCTGATCAGTGTTATCAGTCCAGAAAATTCTCCCACAGATAGTGGTAAAAATTGATTTTCTGGGGTAATGTTGTATGTGATCGCCCCATTGGGACCATAATCCCCATCTTCTGCTTGAATATTTCCTATTACTGATCCTACAGGCAGGTCCTCAGGGACAGAGAAAGTAACATAAGATTTGCTAAAGCTCGGAGTAAATTGATTCCTCCCAGTAATTTGGAAAGTGATTTCAGCTTGGGATGTTAAAGGGGGGGTGCCCTCATCTTCAGCCACAGCTATTAAAGTGAGGATCTGATTTTCATTCTCTCCTAAAGTCTGATTTAAAATTAGTTTTCCAGTGTCACCTTGAATCCAAAAGAAATCAGATGCATTCCCTCCATTCAAAAAATACTTAATGCTACTATTGCCATTGACATCCAGATCTACTGCTGTAAACTGGACCACCTCACTTCCCACAGCCAGGTGATAAGGAATAGCCATCAAGGGTTGTAAAGGGAAAAACATAGGAGGGTGGTGGTTGTATTGTTCTAATCTTACTCTGATAGTGACATTACTATGCAGGGAGATACTGCCACGGTCAAAAGCAGTAACTGTAAATTGATAGATTTCAAAATTACAGTCACGTAACATCAGGGGCTTCTTTGTATAGATTTCACCAGTGGTAGCGTTCAGCCAAAACTCCTCATGTGGAGGGTCAATAACATAGAAAATCTCACTGTTTTTCCCAATGTCTGCATCTGTAGCAAGAATCTGCAAAATAAACGCCTCTTCATCTTTTGTTTCAGGGAGGATAATGCTATAGAAATGTTCAGAAAATACTGGTCTGTTATCATTGACGTCTAAAATGACTATAGTCACATCTGTGCTTATACTCCATGCTGAATCATTTGCACTTACTTTAAGGATATAATGATCCTGCATTTCCCTGTCCAAAACTCCTCCAACGGTGATGTAGCCAGTGGTGAAATCAATATTAAAAAACATGTCATCACTTTGCTCAACTATCGAGTAATTAATCACTGCATTGGCATCAGTGTCAACATCTGTAGACGTGACTTTTATAATTGTCTGTCCAACAGGGGTATCTTCAGACACCTCTGTGAGAAAAATCTGAGAAAATAGAGGGGCATTATCATTTCTGTCTAAAACAGTGATGATAACAGTTGCTTTGTCTTTGTGAAGCGTGTTTTCTAGTTCTTCTGCTTCAACTGTTAAATTAAATTCAGGAATATGTTCTCTGTCTAAGCTTACAGTGGTACTCAAATAACCATTTTCAGGGTCAATTGTGAAGAAGTTACCGTGGTTTCCGTCTGTTATGTTGTATTGCACTGTGCCATAATAGCCAGAATCTGCATCAATTGCAAGTACATCACAAACCACGGTAGGCGGGGAGTTCTCAAAAACCTCACACCTGTACTCAGCTTGAGTAAACTGTGGGAAATTATCATTTGCATCAATGATGTTTATGTGAATTTCAGAAAAAGAGGAGAAAGGAGGCAAGCCTGAGTCTCTGGCTTCTATCAACAAAGAAAAATCTTTTTTGCTCTCAAAATCCAATGGTCTCTCTACTATCAGGGCTCCACTTGAATGATCGATGTGAAACATGTTTTCAAAGTTTCCAGAAGCGAGATAAAAAGTGACAGGTTCAGCTCTAATACTCAGGGCAGATACCACAGCCACCAGTGTTTCCACTCGCTCATCCTCTGTGAGGGAATAACTCAGAACATCCACATTCATCTTTGGGAAATCAGCGATGTTCTGAAACCTGACACTAATAGTTGTGGTGTCAAATTTGGGATCTTCCCCAGAATCTTCCACACACACAGTGACAATAACATCATCCACTGACTGTAGAGCCGCTGAAGTGAAAACAGTGCCACTGTAAGGATCGATTGAAAACATATCAGAGCTTTCTCCCTGTAACGAATAATGTAGTTCTGCATTGATCTCAATGTCGTCATCTGATGCTCTCACTGCACAAACAACAGAGCCTGCAGAAAAAAAAAAAAAGGGGGGGGAATAATACAATATTAATACAATTGCCAATATTACCCAGAGTAAAACATATAGCTGTCAAATAGAAAAGTAATCTCTCACCTGGAGCTAACTTGGTTGGCACATAGGCCACATAAGGCCCATTCACAAACTGGGGCCAGTGGTCATTAATATCTCCAATAAGTACAGTAACAAGCACAGAGCTGGACAGAGGCTGAATAGGATGCTTATCACTCGCAGTCACTTCCAAATTATAAATGGCCACTGTCTCCCTGTCCAGTATGTTTGTTGTAAATAGCTCTCCAGATGTTTCATCAATGGCAAAAGGCACATTGAGGTTTTCCATAGAATAGCTAAACAAAACAAATAAAAATAAAAACAGTGCGCTATGCAAAACTCTGAAAGTTACTCTAATATAACACAGTCATTAAATTCAGAAGATTATAAAAATACTATAAAAGCATTTTGTTTTAAGAAACAAATTATCACATTTACCTTACTTCCCCACTGACACCCTCGTCGACATCAGAAGCAATTATCACAGCAAACACAGTGCCTATAAGACTGTCCTCAGGCACTATGGTGTTGTAGACTTCCTCTGTAAACTCTGGGTGGTTATCATTGACATCGTCAACTATGATGTGCACAGTCAAAGTGCCTGTTAGAGATGGCAGTCCTTCAAATGACAGTGGAAGTCATCATCAAACAGTGTGAAGTAAGTATTAGAAAAACATAGACCATTATTTCCATACTGAATTAAGTATCTTGCAGTTTTATTTGGATAGAAGTTACCTGAATCAACAGCAGTGATGGTGACTATATATAGCGACTCCTTCTCTCTGTCTAAGGTGTGCAAAATATGAAATGTGCCACTGGGAGTGATAGAAAATAAATTATATCCATTTCCTTTCTCTATAAAATAGGTAACCTGACTGTTGTTTCCTAAATCTTCATCCAAAGCTGAGACCTGGCAAAATTTTAAAAACAAAAAGAAAAAAACAATAACAGAAAATAAATAAATAAATAAAAAGACAAACATTAAAACGCCGTTGTTTTTCAGCAGAATTTTACTGCACCTGATATGTTAGCTGAGTTGGATCCTCCTCATTCTCCTTCACATGAATGGTCAATGTTTCTGGAACAAACTGGGGTGCAAAGTCATTGACATCCATCACTGTGATATGGATTGCAGCACTAGCAGATCTGGGTATGTTCCCCCGATCTACAGCAGTTATCATCAACGTGTAGTTTGAGTCCCTCTCTCTATCTAGTTCATCCATGACTGTGAGAACTCCTCGAACTATGTCCACCACAAATGGACCAATCTGGGCCAACATGTACCGTACTTGTCCATTGGATCCAATGTCTTGATCGTGAGCCTGAACCTGCAGCAGGCTTGTTCCCCTGGGGATATCCTCTCTGACTGTCAGGTTATAACTGCTTTGTAAAAACTCAGGGTCATGATCATTCACATCCTCAACATGCACTGTGAGTTTCATAGTGGTTGCCAGCATGGGTAAGCCTTCATCAGTAGCTATTATAGTAACAGTCAGAGTATCTACTTCTTCTCTGTCTAATAACTCCTCCAGGTATATCTTTCCACTTCTGTTATCAATGCTGAATATCCCACCGGAGGTGTTTAAATAATACAAAACCCTCCCGTTGGATCCAGCGTCTTCATCCTCAGCATGAGCAGTTATTACAACAGAATGCAGTGCAGTGTCTTCTGGTATACTAACACTTTCGGCTGACACAAACATTGGAGCATTGTCGTTGACATCTTCAATAATCACAATAACACGCGCTGTACTTGTGAATTGTAAAGATGCAGGCTGGGCACAGTCATTGGCTGCCACAGTCAGATTGTAGTAGGACTGTCTCTCCCGGTCCAGAGGTTTGTTAAGGCATAAGGTACCAGTGGAATCTGTGACAAACACTTCCTCGTCGTCACCACTGATCACTCTCAGTGTCATTTTTCCATTATCACCTTGCAGACAAGAAAATATAGCATGTGAATTATTAAAAAGGATAAAATGGGTTTAGACTTGTTGTCAAGTAAGATATCAGTTACAGACATCGATTATAGACCTTTCTTGGAAGCATAACTAAAAATGATAAATGCATTACATTATACTTTCTGAAAACACATTTGTATCATAATCCTTATATTTTCATTGCAGTTGTCTTAAACCTGTATAAATCAAAGGGCAAAATGAGGCGCTTGAATGTGAACTGTGAAAAATGTGTGTTTTTACATCAATGACTTACAGGGCTAAAGTTCAATCTAGCTGCTGATTCCTTTCTGTCATTTTATTTATATGAAATATGTTTTCTTAACAAATACACTATTCCACAGAATACTTGACAACAGCCTCTCATTAACTTTATCTGAACAGTGAAATACAGGGATGGTTATGGGTGTGATCCCCACTGACTACATGAATGTATAAATCATTTGCTTGAGGAGCAGCTCCAATAAAATAATAATAATAATAATAATAATAATAATGCAATGCGGAAAGAATGTATCCTGTATTACTACAAATGCAGGATTCATTTAAATATTTTATGTAATATAATGTACAGTCACTGGCCATTTTGTTAGGTACACCTGTTCAACTGCTCTTTAACACAAAGGAATCAGCCAATCACATTGCAGCAACACATTTAGGCATGTAGACATTGTCGTGATAAACTGCTGAAATTGAAACTGAGTGTCAGAAGGCAAAAGAAAGGTGATTTAAATGGCTTTGAATGTTGCGTGACTGTTAGTGCTGGATGAATCTGGAGACCATCTCTAAGATTTGCAGAGAATGGTCTGAAAAAGAGAAAATGTCCAGTGTGGCAGTTCTGTTAGAGAAAATGCCTTGTTGATGCCAGAGGTCAGAAGAGAATGGCTGGACTGCTTCAAGCAGAGACAGCAAGACAACTGTAACTTAAATAATCACTTGCTACTACCAAAATATTTAGAAGAACATTTCTTCTGCTCTTCTACATACTTCAAACTTTGAAGCAGATGGGTTACAAAAGCAGATGATCACACTGAGCGTCATTCCTGTCAGTTAAGAACAGGAAACTGAGGCTAAAATTCACATTGGCTCACCAACATTGGACAACAGAAAATTAGGAAAATGTTGCTTTAACCCTTTCGTGCATGAATTATGACAACCTCAATCAGGATTGTTTTCTTAAGTTTTCTTATTCATCTGTAGGCATGAAAAAAAGATTTTTGAATTTAATTTTTTCTTAACATCTTGTCTTTTAAATGCCCACTTAGGTGGACAACATCACCTTTGGAGTGGGTGGCAGGGTTTGGAGTGACACATTAGTTTCCAGTGTAGTGGTTTATGTGCAAGTACACACTGACACAAATACAAGAAAACAGCCTTTGAATAGCTGTCCAATGTAGTGATCACTATGTGTGAAAGGGTTAAGGTGAAAGTAAAATCCATTGAACGTATGATGGCAGTAACATTTCATATTCACTTTGCACACTTACCCTCATCTTTATCTGACACATTCAGAGACAGGAAACAAGTTCCAATGTTTGTGTTCTCCAATAACACTGCAGAAAAGGTATCTTGACTGAAAACAGGGAGGTTGTCATTCACATCTAGCAAATTGAAATACACCCTGATACCAGATACCTGCAGATCCCCCTGCTGCGCCTCCACTGTGAGAATGTAGAACCTTTGTGCTTCAAAATCCAGGCTGCGGGTTAATAGGAACTCCCCCGAGAAAGGGCTGAGGAGGAATAGGTTCTCACCGTCATCCTCCTGAACTGAGTATGTGATAGCTGTGAGACTCTCAAACTGTGTTTCCACTTTTCCCACGATTGTTCCTGTGAACACAGTGAAAAAAAATAAAATAAATAATAATAATAATAATACTAGTGGATTGAGCAGCACAGTTATGTCAAAATGGAATAATTTGAAGTATATTTGAAATGGGGACCCAAAGTTACACATTAATATTTCAAAAAAATAATCTGTCAGCTAACATGCATATGCGCTTACATGAGGAAAGATGACTAACCTGGTAGTGTGTCTTCTTTCACTTGAAACGAGTAAACAGTTTTGGAGAAAGCCATCTGTGTTCGCCATCTGTTATGAGGGTGTAGGCTTACTTCACCATGCTCCAGCACAGCATCAACAGACGAAGGATACCAGGAGGGGAGCGTATGCTGCCCTAGTATGATATCTGCAAGCTCCCTCACACTACTTACATTCACCCTATTTCCAGATGAAAGTTTATGAGATGATGTAGTAATAAACACCTGAAGAAGGCAAGGAGTCACAGTTTCGAAGCAAGCATAAATGGTCAACTTCTGAAGTAATAAAATTATTGGAGATATGTAAAATGTGCTGGAAGCCTTAAACACAAATAGACATCTAAACTAAATTCGAAGCCAGTTATCAAAACACATCAACCAACAGGCCAACTTACCACAAAGTGAATAATAATAATAATTATATATTTCCTCCTACATCCGGTAGAATCCATTATAAAGTTTACTTCTTCAGCGCCTCTTTGTTGATCATAGTTACAAAATCAAGTAATAATAGCACACAAAACAGACGTGGCACTAAATAGTAAAATCCCAGAACTGTGCAGCCCCCACACAAGCCCAACAAATGGTAAAGTATTAAAGCTGTATCCATGGTGATTACTCAATCTGTTCAGCTTGTAATCCTGACTGACACGCCTCTTTGACATCACTCTATGCAAATCCTGCAGCTGGGGAGGAAAAAAAAGTTTCGTGGGACTTGAGAGTGAAGCAGATTACATTTTCTTTTCTATTTATTTGCTAATGAAAAAAGCAGAAGGTTGAGGAAGGTTGAAGAAAAATTACCAGGTAAAAAGCATTAATAGTATATCCAGCTATGGTTTACTGAATCAGTATGTTTTATATTCTCGACATGGATTTTGCTATTGAGGTTATTCAGCGTAGGCATGAAATGGACTCTCTGAACAGTTGCCTGCAGTAAGGTAGCCTAGAGGCAGACTTTGTTGTTGCATATCAGATGGGGGGTTTCATTCAGAGACAGAATGGCATTCATTCAATTGGTAAAAAGGGAGTGAAAAGAAGGGGAAAAACTATTCAGAATCACAGGTCTCAAAACTGACTTGACATGATACTGTAGAGCAATGTCAAACAGACAGAAACCGTTTGCCAACTACAAGGCAATGTCTTTTAGAGCAAATGTAATTCATTTTTAATCATTTTAACTGATATTGAATTATTAACTTTTTATTTAATATTCAAAATTCAGTTGCTGCTGGTCTTACTAAACTCTTCTTTCTAAAGAAACAGGGCTTTTACCATCTTTATGCTTGCTTCCAATAAAAAACAACTGTTGTGACCCTAATGTTAACTACATGCAGGAACACTGAGCTTGTTTGTGTGTCAGACCTACTGAAAGGAGAACACAGAGGTTTCATTCATATTTGCTAACACTTCTAAGAACGGTTACTGCAAAGGAAAACACTACTGAGAAAAGCCTGATGAATGGACATGTGAACCCCCTCTAAGTGATGGTGAGGCCACCGTGCCTGTGAGCTTGCCTCCAGTTACAGGGAATTGCAACTCAATACGACCAAGGGATCACAAAAGGTCCCTGCCTTGGGAAAGAGAGCACTCGGAGAAGGAGTACTTTTCTTATGTACATTTGGTACTTGGCTGGGAATAAAATACACCCATAATAATATCATGTAGTGGAGAATCTTCTTGTGCTTTTTGCATTGATTATCCAAGCCTCTGGAACTCTCCAGGAGGAAAGCAAAAACTATTCCTTCAAAAGAAATTCCCTAATCTGGTGTTTTGATCATTTTTTGGGTGACTGCTAACAGCTGTCCCTTTAAACCAGGCAGTGATCCCCCATGTCCTACAGATGGAGTCATTATCATCCTGAAAAAAAAACCCCACTCTGTAGAACCTATATGGACTTGTTGCTTGTGTGCGCATGACAAAACAAGTATAGTTTAAAGTTTTTTAATGCCACACACACACATACACATACAGGTTTTTTATATCATGGCACCACCCTCTGGATTGAGGTTGCTCAAACTACTGTAGCATGATCGATGTTTTTTACTTTCCAGAGAGTTTATAAAACATTGCTGAGGATGTGAATGCCTTAGCACTTTGCAAATAACAGCCATTGGGCAATATTTTTTTTTCTTAAATTGTTAAAATCAATAAAAGTTTGTTTATTTTCCAATAGAACAATGTGATATCCTTAATTGTGTTCGTATTACTTGCTATTGTCAAATATCTGTCCTTCTGGCTTAATAATTCCATGAGTCCAGTACTGGTAAGTAAGAATTATTACTTGTCAATTATCCTTAGTCATTTGTGCCATTAGCAATCTGTTTACATAAAAAGCCTCAAACTCTGAATTACTCATAGATTAACTAGTATTGTGAACTTGATTGAAAAAGGTACATTTATTATTCAAGACTTAAAAAATGGACTACTGACTTGACAGTTTTGCGGATAATGATGGTTATCCTCAACAAGAGGTTAAGTCTCATTTGTGAAAAAGGCAAGCTGTTTGCAGACTGCAGTATTTAAACATCTGTCTAAAGGGGAAGTGTGATATAAAGAGAAGATTGTCAAGGTAAGTCAAATCAGGAACTTGGGAGAGCTTTGCAAACAGAGAACTGAGGCCGGTGACAGAGGATTAAGATCCACCACACATGGACGTCTAGTGGCTCAGTACTAGGAAAGGAGCTACAACTGCCGCATTCCTAATACTGAACCACTAGATTTTAGAGTACTTCTTGCTTTCCGCTGCTGACAGGCTTTATAGAGATTCTTATTTCCTTTTACAGCAAGACCTAGGAGCTTCCCACAGCACCAAAACTACCAAATAGCTTGCTGACCGCATTATTGGGCAGCTAACAAACCTGAACCCAAGAGGAAGATGAGAAACACCCAACACAGAATTACAGATGGACTGAAGGGCCCTATTTGCATGTAAAGAATATAGAATACATGGAAGTTTGGTAGTTTTTAGATTTTGTGAGATGATTAAAATTAGGAGGAAAAAAACAAACTTGTTAAAAAAAAAAAAAAAACGACCTTTATTGAAGACATTCTTGAATGTCGACAGCTGCATTTGATATTAGAGTGGTATTCAAAGAACAATAAAAAGACATTGGGACAGCACATAAAAAAATATTTTTCAAAATAAACAAAAATACACTAGCAACTCAGAAATCTCATTTTTGAGTTGGAACACCTAAAGACTAGTTACTTTCATACTTATTTGTAGTCCTCCTAGACTGTTACATAATATGGCAGGGGTAAAGTACTACCACTAGAAAATTCCAAACGTAAGATATGTAGTGTTGACTTTACAAAAAAAACAAAAGAAAAAGAAAAGGAGAATAACACTGTACATCTTAAAAACATCAAATATACACATGATCTTGGTCAATCTGACTTCGGTTTTTCAAGATGGTGAATTGAGATATAAGGATATATGGCATAAACAAAACTGCAGGTCCCATCCCCAAGTGAGCTACTCATCATCATCATCCTCATCTTCCTCTTCTTCTTCTCCTTCCTCTTCTTCTTCTTCATTGTCATCATCATCATCATCAGCTGCAGCAGCTGGTCCTGAATCCACTTTTCCCTTTGTGCGGTAAGCAACAATATCCTGTAACAGAGAGATAAGCTCTTTTCCATGCTCCACAAACAATAACATTTTTCTATCAAATCAACAAGTTTAACTTCCATGTCATTTTGGATTATCACCTTGTCATATTTCTCCTTCAACTTGGCAGCCTTCTTCTCATATGGCTGCTTTTCTTCCGCAGATGAGCTATTCCACATCTCTCCCAACTTCTTTGCTGTGTCCCCAATGGAAAGGCCTGGATTTTCACTTTTTATTTTTGGGCGAAAATCTGCACAGAAGAGGAAAAATGCAGACCTGTGGGGGGAAAAGAAGGAAATGGAAAAAAACAAAACAAAAATGTTGCTGTTTAATTGCTCAAAATACCCCTACAGTCTGAAAGAAAATGAGAAAGTGTAGATTATGGCACATACGGTGGTCTCTTGGGGGCATTGGGGTCCTTGAATCGCTTCTTCTTCTGGCCCTTGGGAGGCACGTAATTCTTCATTTCCCGCTCATAACGCAACTTGTCTTGCTTGGCCATGTCTTCAAACTTGCCTTTCTCTTTTGGTGACATTGTCTTTGGAGAAACACAGCCAGTTTTAAACAATCTAAAAAATAAAATACTGAATTTAGAAAAATGAAAATAAAATCTAATATTATGAATAATTCCTTTTACCTTCCATCGCTCAGAGCATTTCTTGGAGAACTCTGAGAAGTTGACACTGGCATCAGGGTGTTTCTTCTTATGCTCCTCCCGGCATGTCTGCACAAAGTAGGCATATGAGGACATTTTGCCCCTCGGCTTCTTTGGATCCTTCCCCATTTTGGCTTACTAAATTTTAAGGAGAGAAAATACATAGTTTTAAATTCAAAGTATACCAGCACGTTCATGCAATGTAAGTAATAGCATCTGAATGGCCCTCGCCAATTGTCTGCCTCCTACTCCATCAGTTCCTCACATCTATTGTTTAAACTGGGTGGTGGGAGGAGGGTGCCTGGGGTGACTGATGATCCATTGTATGAAGAGGCTAGCATTTATTAAAACTACAATCAGCTACACATTACTCTACTGGCGCGTTAGATCAAACGTTTAGCTATACAAGCTAGTAAAAACAGTATAGTGCTGTTTAATTTTAGCACTCCGACAATATAACGTGAAGCTAACCGGCTAAAGGTTCTACGTGAACACATTAGCGTCCACCTCATTTGATTGTTCATTAGCTTTTAGCCATCTTGCTTTGTGTCCTCTTGCTATCAGCGTTAGCCTTCAAGCTAGGCTAGCATGTCACGGTGCTCATCTCGGGAGACGATTATGAAAATGGCTGATTAGACTGCTAACAATGGCTAGCTGCCCGTTTTCAAACACCCCTTACGTCCTTCAGGACAAATTTGCCTGTTACTGCTGTCACCTGTCTAAACGCTAAAGATTATTCGACTAAAAGTTTAGTGAAAGTCGTACTAATACCGGAGAATGATGCTCTGCCTGTATCACCGTACTCCGGTTGCCTCAGCACCAGTCAACGGTATTAACCTACATTCAACAACCAGCTAGCGCTAGCCTTTATGGTAGCATCCAGCCACCTTTAGCACGCACCACAGCAGCGGACGTTACGTTAAGCGAAGTGCGGCAGACAGTTAACTCGACCATCAGGGCTCTTGTCCTTTAACCCAATGGGCACTTTATTTTGGTTATTACTCATGGCCGTGGTGAATGTCACTGTACGGTAACTACTTAGCCAAGTTAGCAAGATAACGTTAAACACCAGGAGCTTGACACTGAGTTAGCATCCCATTCACCTCAGCCATGCAACCAACTACGTACAACGTTAATGTATACTGTGCAAAGCATATCCCAGAGCATTGTTTCATTCATAAGAGCCGCACACTATTCGCTTTGTTTAAGATTACGTTTATAGTGCTTACCCCTACAGCGCTATATGAGGCCAGCCGCACGTCGGTACGTCTCAAACAATGGGACGAAAAGCACCGTCAGTGCGCGGTCTTTTGGCTGCGAGAATCCGTCTGTGTTTATTCTGTGTGTTGGGCACCGGCTGTCGGACATTGGCTGCCGCCAACTCCTTGGAGTATCTTATTGGACACGCGCTGTCAGTCCTGCTTGTTGAACGGTTGGTTGTTCAAAACACGGCGGTGTGATGGCGCTCGGCTTGAATGGCAGTGAGTTTAACTGCAAGGAAACACAAACGGAAAGAAATGCAGAGCCCATTAGTAAAAAACAAAAAGGAAAGACTAGCAATTTGAAGTTACTCCTAAGCTTTTAAAGGAGCATTATCAGCGAATCATATCGTTTACGTGACACACTGCTTTGAGGGTGTTTGTCCCCGTTCTGATTTATTTATTGTCTATTTTACCACATGTACATGTTAAAGCAAGTTTTAATATTAGACAAGAATGAATTAAAAATGTTTTTAAATGATAGTTTCATTTATCCAGCGAAATATTAATTATTATTAAATAATAATGAATTAAGTATGATTTAACACATTTTTTGAAAAGCGGAGTTCAATTTCACTGGCCATGGAAAGCACTTAATTAGGTTTTGACAAAATGAAGTGGTCTTTAGTGATGTGCAATTCCACTGATTTCCTTTCCGATCCGATACCAAGTAAAATTCAGGGTGGTATCGACGATACTGATCCGATACCGATACTTTGTACAAAAACTTAATGTTTCAATAATCATTGTATTTCATAATACAATATATAATTGTATTATGTAATTGTAATAATAATATAATAATATAGCTTCATAATGATTACAGAACATTAGACTACTTGTTCTTATTGCTTAATAATGCAGAATTATCATATAGAAATTTAAAAAAAACTTGAAGTTGTGCTCTATTTGAGCATGTTGCCTGCCTGCAACACTAAAGGACTCCACAAGATACGTCTGTCTCGCCCTAGCAGCAACTGTCCCTCTCCTCCTCTTCAGTTCGCCTCAACATAAGCTCATCATATTCTGTGATATGATTTACTCTGAGGTGTTTGACGAGGTTAGTGGTGTTGCCACAACACATCACTGTCTTGCCACATGTATTGCAAACCGCGTCTTGGCTGTTTGTGGATGTAAAATACGTCCGCACATGACTCCGTTAACATTCTGCCATTGTTGTGAGTGCGTACGCCAAGGGGCTGCCACACATTTATACAGGGTGGGCCATTTATATGGATACAACGTAATAAAATGGGAATGGTTGGTGATATTAAAGTCCTGTTTGTGGCACATTAGTATATGTGAGGGGGCAAACTCCTTAAGA